AGCAGCAGGACTGCAGCAAGCTGTACCCGAGGCAGATCCACTCAAGCTGCAGCTGATCGGGGCTTCCCCTTCCCATAGAGGCTCAGAGCTGGGTCCTGCTAAAGCCAAGCAGAGAACAGCACCAGCAGTCCAACACAGGGGGCTGTGACCATGCAGTGTCCCTGTGGTCCCTGCAGCAGAGCCGTGCGCCCAGCAGAGCCTCCAGCCTTGCTGCAGCCAGGGCAGGGACAGCACAGCAGGCACGGCCCTGCATGGCCACACCAGATGGTCACAGCCAGGCTGTCACTGGCAGAGGCCATCAGAGAGGTCAGCTAATTCTTGACACTACAAGAAGCTGCTACCTACTTCATTTTTTCCAGCAGAAGACAGGGTCAAATTAATGTGGATGCAAACCTGCAAACATGCAGTGTGTTCCTGCTCAGGTCTTAGGGGGAACAGCTTCACGCAAGGGGCACCCGGCCCCCTCCCCCAAAAAACACCTCCACATCCAGCACAGCCAGCACTGTACCATGGGGACACCGCAGGCACCCTCAGCAGCCCCAACCCTCAGTGAAGGCTTCACAACCCCATCACCTGCCTGGACCAGAACAGGTTCTCACAGAGCACAAGAGTCTGGGACAAGTCCAGCACAGGGCCACAGCACACTGAGGAGTTGGCACCCACAGCCCCCATGCCACATATGCCCAGGGCTGCCCCAGGCTCTGCGTCCCGCTGAGCCCAACGGGGCAGAGACTGGGGCAGAGAAGTGCCTTACCCAGCCCGGGAGCAGCCCTCAGGGCAGAGCTGACGATCTCCAAAACATCAGCACCAAACTCCCCCCCTTCCCAACAGCTGCGTCCATCCCTCCGGGTGAATGCGTTTATAAAAAGCTGCCGTGTGGGGATGAGCTGGCAGAAATAGCTGCACACAGCCGCCGCCGCACCGTGTAAGAGATGATCACCAGCTGTTCTGCAAAGTGCCCGAAATAGAGCCAGCGCGGCGCAGCTCCTGGGGAGATGGCGCGCGTTTAGCTGAGCCCAGCAGCAAAGCCGCCCACCTCCCCCACTCCTCGGGCAGCCCCTGCCCCAGCTGGAGCCAGGCTCTGACAAGACGCCAGCTGCGCTTGCTGCAGGGGGCGTGGTGACAAGGAGGGACCGCAGCCCCAAGCGCTGTGCTCACAGCCTCAGCCACCACAGCCCCTGCACAGCCCCGCAGGGCGCACATGCACACGCTGGACATTCCTGTGCGGCCCCAGCAGGCAGCAGTTGCTCTCTCTTCCTTCAGGCTGACCTCCAAATGTTAACCAGAAAGCTGCGATAGGCAGACCAGAGCTACCTGCAAGGTCCGAGCAGCACCCAACATCTCTGCTGTGCTGTCGTCTGCATTGCCACATACCCCTCCACATCTGAGATACGCATGGAAGGAGTGGGAGAGCTCAGCTGAAGTCTCCCACGTCTCGCACATCATGTGCTTGCTGCCCTCCTGCTGGAAGGCACCGAGTTCACCACACCGTGCCCCCCAGGCAGCGCCGCAGCCCCAGAGCCGTGCAGCCATTACTCAGCAAATCATTATGAATAATGAACAGCACTGACAAAATGCAACCTGTGACGATGTGCCAGTAGGAAATGAGGGGCACGCCTCCATTAATCACTCATTATGAATTATTCAGCTAAACAGGAAGCAGAAGGCAAACTCAGATACGTTCTGCATGGAAGTGGAGTGGGCTCTAAGGAACGCTCTGACCCCACGCGTGAGGCAGCCCCTGCTGCAAGCCCAGTGAGCTCTGTGAGCAGCCCCTGCCCAGCAGGCTGGTGGCTACCCAGTGCTGAATGTCTGCTCGGGGCCAGCAGCACACAGCCCTGCCCTCACACACCCCAGAGCCTTGCCTTCCCCACCATGCCTTCCCCCCATGGCCGTACCTCTGCCCAGCATCAGGTGCCCCTAATGTCAATCCAGTCTCAGAGCACTGTGATAACCACAGCTCAGGCAGCAGCATCCCCCCACATGGTAGAGCTGCACACAGCGCTGTGCCAGTTGTGCACCTACAGTCGCTCCCCACCCTCTGGCTGGTTTCCTGCCCCTGGTGGGACCTTCAAAGGAGCCAGGCTCCCCAGCAACCTCAGGGTAAGGCAGGCTGGATGCTGTACAACAGCAGTGGGACTAGAGGTTTCTGTCCCAGTGACAGCAGGATGCCTGTGGTCGCAGTGCTTCTCTGCAGGCATGGAGGGGAGATCTCCACCCTAGAAAACAGCACACAGCCTCCGACTCCCTCATGCAGCAGGGCAGTTTGGCGTCCCTGCTGATGCACTCAGGCCACAGGAGCACTCTACCACCGTTGGGAGATGGACCTCAGGGGGGTCTCCAGCCCAGTGACAGGCCCAGCCGTGGGCTCAGCCCAGTTTGCTCCTCACTGCATCCCCTTGAGCCTTGACAGCCCCTAAGGAAGGAGGGGCCCAACCTCAGCGGGGGCACACTGCAGTGCCAGGCCACCCTCAGCAACACCTGGGCACAGCGACGTACACAGGGGCACCGATGGCACACGTGGCCAAGCGGGCACCAGGGGACACGAGCGGCACAGCTCCACGCGTGGGCAGTGACACAGCCAGCCCTGCGTGTGAACACAGCTCTGTGCTGCTGGGCACTCACAGGTATGGACACACACACAGGGGCTGCGTGTGCACTCAGCCACCCGGCACACACCTGCACCCACACAGACGCAGCCCTGCGCTCATCACCGCACAGACACTCAGCCCTCAGGACGTGCGCACGCACACAGACACACAGACACACATACAGACCGCGGCCCCGCCTCGCACACGCGGATCCAGACGCGCACCGTCCCGCCCTCGCTCAGACCTGGCTGTGCTGGACGCAGCCCCGCACACGCCCCCCCCCCCCCCCCCGCCCCTCCCCGCACCCAGCGGGGGCGGACGCGCCGCCCCGCGCCCTCCTCCCCGTGCAGCCCCGGTGCGCACAGCGGGGCCGGTACCGGGCACCGCACACCGCTAACGGGTACCGGCACGGCACAGCAGGTAACGGGGGCGAACCCCGGCTCCGGGAAGGGACCCCCGCCCCGCTGTCGCAGCACCGAGCCCGGCGCTGAGGCAGGGGAGGCGACACCGCGGCACCGGTGAGAGGAGATGGAGGTGAGAGCAACTTCGGAATCGGAGCGGGGGTCTCGGGGAGCAGCCGTGGGCATCTGGGCGCAGTGCTACCGGGGGGGGGGCTGGGAGCGCTCACAGCCTTCGGGCAGCGCTGCGCTGACAGCGAGGTGGGAGCTGCGGGAGCCACGCATTAACGGGCATGGGCTGGGGGGGGAAGGGGGAAGCAGGCAGAGCATCGCGCGCGTGCCGTGGGGGAAAGCGGTGAGCGCAGACTGCGGAGTGCTGCGGGTGACGGAGCAGGGGGAGATGCCCAGGGGAGGGGACAGCGCCGCTCGCCGCCGGGCAGCAGGGAGCTGTGATGGGAGAGCAGGGCGAGCAGCGGCGGGGCTCCTGGGACAACGCACCTCTGACATCGCCGCGGTGCTCGGCCCCGCGAGTTACCGCCTCTGCCCCGCGCACGGCACTCACCGGGTCTCAGCGCTGCTGCCCCACGGGGACACAGGCACACAGCCACCAGGCGCTCAGTTCCCGAGTGGTGCCACGGAGCAGCACGGAGGAGCCTTGCCCTGCTGCGAGTCCCGGGATCAGCAGGGGAGCCACTGCCCAGCAGGGGCAGGAAGCGCCTTCCAGAAGGGAGGGTGTCTGCTGACCCCCCGAGCCAGTCCTGCTGCAGAGTGCTGCACGAGAACGCTGCTCTCTCACAGCACTCTCCTATACAAGGACTCCACACAGCACCACGAAGCAGCACAGGGTTACACACAGCAGAGCAGCAGCTGCTTAGAATTTCCACCAGCAGCAAGGACCACAGCCCCAGCTGCACAGGAGATGCTCGCAGCCTCCAGTGGGCTCCGTGTTACAGAGTGAGGGGCCTCTGAGGCACAGTAGAGCCATGCCAGGAGCAGGGCCACATTGGTGACTCTGGCACTGAAGGAAATCAGCTGTATTCAAGGAAACATCAACATGGCTGTGGGAGCAGAGCTGGAGGAGAGCAAGGCAAGGTGAACTGAGGTGTATCAAGGAGCAGCGAAAGCAGAGCTGCCCATGCAGGGAGACAAGCTATGAGCTGAGAGCAAGACCTCACCTGTAGGGCAGGAGTAGGCTGCTAACAGCTATGGGTCACACAAGAGAGATCACCAGGAGAATGCAGAACAGCAAACTCCATCCACAAGAGAAGTCCAGCAAACAAAGATAATCCCACAGAGCTGAGCACAGGCTCAGGGCCTGCCTTTAAATAGGGCTCCCAGCCCATAGCAGGGGGTGTGGGATTCCAGATGGAGCTGTTCAGCAATCAGCATTGATTGGTGCTTGCAGGGCTGGCAACCAGCACACCTGGATGGGGTGACAGCAGGGGCTGAGTCTGTGGGGCTGCCTGGCAAACACTGCATCTGAAATGAATTCGCTGAGAGAGGAGCAATGCCATAACATGAATTATGAGCCAAGGGAAGGCAGTGCCAGTGCACCTCCCAGCTGGCTCCAAGCAGTGCTGTCACTTCAGGAGACCCCAGAGGAAACAAAGCTTTCCTCCTGCTGCAGTTCCCCCTGCACCCCAGTACCCCCAGCAGGCAGCACACAGCACTGTGGCAGAACCACAGCACGATTTGGATCGCAGGACGTCTTACAGCCCCTCCAGTTCTAACCCCTCCATGGGCAGTGATACCTCCCACAGCCCAGCGCCCCATCCAACCTGACCGTGAGCACTTCAAAGATGGGGAACCTGCAGCCACCCTGGGCAGCCTACACCAGGGCCTCAGTGCCCTCGCGGTACAGAATCCCTTTCTCAAGTCTAACCTAAATTCAACCTCTTCCAATGTGGGAAAGTGCTGCAGGGCTGCCCATGTGCAGAGGGCTCAGCGGAGGCTGCAGGGGGGCTCACCTTTCCATCCCATTCCTCCCCAGCTGCCGTGAGCCCTGCGTGCCATGGATGAGGCGACGGAGCTGCAGACCGGGGGGAACTCTCTCCTGAAGGCAGTGTGGCTGGGCCGGCTGCGGCTGACCCGGCTGCTGCTGGAGGGGGGGGCCTACATCAATGAGAGCAACGAGAAGGGGGAGACGGCGCTGATGGTGGCCTGCATCACCACACACGTGGACCAGCAGAGCATCAGCAAGGCCAAGATGGTGAAGTACCTGCTGGACAACAGGGCTGACCCCAACATCCAGGACAAGTCTGGGAAGACGGCCCTGATGCACGCCTGCATCCGCGGCGCGGGTGGCGAGGTGGTGACCCTGCTGCTGGACAACGGGGCCGACCCCAGCCTGGAGGACCACTCCGGTGCCTCTGCACTGGTGCACGCCATCAACGCCGATGACAAGGATGTTTTGCAGCACCTTCTGAATGCCTGCAGAGCCAAGGGGAAGGAGGTGATCATCATCACCATGGACAAGTCGGCCACCGGCGCCAAGGCCACCAAGCAGTACCTGAACGTGCCCCCACTGCTGGACTTCAAGGAGAGGGCCTCCCCTGAGACGAGCACCGCAGCGCTGAAGGCGGCCGCCCCATGCCCACAGCCCGCCGAGCAGGAGCTGCCCCCCGGGGACGGTCCTCCCACCAAGGCCACCCCCGAGCCGCCCTCCCCGGGCTGGAGGGGCGGCACCACCACCAAGAGAGCACGGCTCCCGCAGCTGAAGCGGCTGCAGTCGGAGCCGTGGGGGCTGGTCGCGCCCTCAGTGCTGGCTGCGCACCACGAGGAGCAGCGGGTGCGCACGGATGACGAGCTGGTCAGCAGCATCGGGGAGCTCGCGCTGTGCAGGAAGGCTCCCCTCAGCCGCAGCAAGGATGCGCCCCTATTCCCGCTGGTGGACGAGCAGGCGCTGCGCACGCCTCCAGCCCCAGGGTCCGGCTGCAGGAAGGGGTTCGAGAAGGGCCCCCAGCGCCTGCCTCGCAGGAGCACGGTGCCGGAGCCCCCGGAGAGCAGCGAGGCGATGGAGGCCCTGCACTGGCGGCGGATGAGCGCCGAGCACCACGAGTGCGACGCCGGCATGGCCGAGGCGGGGAAGGTGGCTGCGGAGAGGAGGAAGCTGAGCGGCTCTCACCTGGCTCTGCTGGGTGGTTCGCGGGAGGCTCTGGATGGTGCCCCCAGCACCTCCCCCGCCGCCGTCCGCCGCCCGCCCAACCTGCTGGAACGGCGCGGCTCCGGCACGCTGCTGCTGGACCACATCGCGCACACCCGGCCCGGCTACCTGCCCCCCCTCAACGTCAACCCCAGCCCCCCCATCCCCGACATCGGAGCCAGCGGCAAGGCCCCCTCCCCGCTGGCTGCCGGCTTCAGGGCCCTGGTGCCCGTCGCTCCCAGCTCCCCCAAGCGGGGTGACCTGAGAACCAAAAAGAAGCTCCTGCGGAGGCACTCCATGCAGCTGGAGCAGATGAGGCAGCTGTCTGATTTTGAGGAAATCGTGGCGCAGTAGCCGCTTTCCCGGGAAGTTCCCCAAACTGCCCTCTGTAGGAACACACACGGCAGTTCGGAGCGGGGCGGTGCTGCCCTGGGAAGCGCAGGCAGCCCTGGGCTCAAGGCCCCATGCACAGAGCACTTTCCCCAGAGCTGGGGGGACAACAGGTGGCAGGCAGCACAGAACTGAGTGCCTGGAGCCCTGCCATGCCGGCTGCTTTTGGACTTCCCCCCCACCCCCCGTGAGCACTTATCTGAGAAATCCAATCCCAGCACGTTTAGGTAGAGGCAGGCATCACACCAAGGCTCCCGGCTGCAGTGTGTTTGTTCCTGGTTATTTACGATCCATTCTTCATCCCTCCCACTCATCCCAATGCAGAAAGCGGTCTGGGAGCCCCACGCCAGGGAGTCGAGGGCTGACGTGTGTGTGAAGTGCCTACCGGGAAGGAGCTCAACGCTGCGAGAGGATGGAGAGCAGAAATAACCCTCCTTAGCGATTGAATGTATTTATACCCTCACTGTGCTGCAGAGGCGAGACAACGCTCAGAGGTCCTGCGATTCCGTTTCCAAGCACTTGGCAACACAGAGCCAGATCCGCTGCTGGTGCAGCTGGGGAGCCTTGCGCAGAGCTCCGCGTTTGGCACGCTGCGCCCGTGGGGAACGCGGCTGCCCGGCCCCGCTGCGCTGCGGGTACTCGAGAATGGATACGCCGCGGTTCCGTCGGCACGGGAGCGCCCTCTGGAAATGCGTTTTCGATTTAAATGTGTTGTTTAGAGTAAAGGTGGGCTTATATTTTTACAGCCTTAAAGTTTATACTTGCTGTCGCTCAGATGTCTTACAGACGGAATTTCAGGCACGCTTTATCTCTAACCACGAAGTTCGTCTTCTATTTTTGGCTGAGGAATCCCAAATCCCAGAGTTTTCATTCGCGCATATCCCCATATCTTTATTGACGCTTCCGCCGGCGCGCTCTGACGGCGGCGGTGCAAACACAGCTCAGTTCCCCTTTGCGCAGGGGCTGAGAGCGCGCATCTCACTGCAGGAGCGCGCATCTCACTGCGGGAACGCGGAGCAGCGCCGCGCCGCAGCCATTGCCGCTCGCGTGTGCGGTGCGGGGGTGACGCCGTGTGACGGACGGCGGTTTTACATCCCCGCTCTATCCGCAGCCGCCCGGCCCCGGCCCCCCGACGTCCCCCGGCCACGCACGGAGCCGCCCCAGCCCGGAAGCGCCGCGGTGCCGCCACGTCAGGGAGGGACGGCCCCGGGCGGGGCGAGCGCGGGGCCGAGCGGCGCGGTGCGGTGCGGGGCGGGCGGGATGCGGAGCTGTGCGCGGGGCTGGGCGCTGGCCCTGCTGCTGGGCGCTCTGCGCGCGAGCGGCACCGAGCTCACTTTCGAGCTGCCCGACAGCGACAAGCAGTGCTTCCACCAAGAGCTGGACCGAGGCCTCAAGTTCACGCTGGACTACCAGGTACGGCCCTGCTCCTACCCGTGCCTCCACCCGTGTCCCCCAGCCCCTGCAAAGCCCCAAGCAGGGCGACCCCCGCACCTCTCCCCCACAGCCCCGCTCCCCCCGTGCTGCCCCGGGAGCTGTGCCCAGACTCGTGCCCAGCAGAGCCCACATCAGAGCTGCTTGGGATGTGCCCACGGTGGTCCCCAGCCCGGTTGTGGGGGCCGTCCCCCCCCACGTTCATTCTGCCCGTGGGCCCTCAGCCTGGCCCCTGCCCGTGATGGGCTGCCGTGGCACGGTGCCGCGCTGCTCAGGGCATGGCTGTGCATGTGGCACATTTTGGGGCAGCATTCCTCTGCCCGTGGTGCCGAGTTCTCAGGGTTCAGCAGGTGCTGCCCACATCTCCCTGTGCAGGTGATCACTGGGGGCCACTACGATGTCGACTGCTACGTCGAGGACCCCAACGGCCGCACCATCTACAGGGAGACCAAAAAGCAGTACGACAGCTTCCCGCACCACGCTGAGCTCACAGGGATCTACACCTTCTGCTTCAGCAATGAGTTCTCCACGTTCTCCCACAAAACCGTCTACTTCAACCTCCAGGTGGGCGACGAGCCGCCCATCCTGCCCGACATGAGCAGCCGCGTCACGGCGTTGACACAGGTGTGTTGCAGCATGTGGCCAAACGCACAACCCCGTGCGACCGCGCTCGCTCCCTTCCCCTCTGCTGAGTGCAGAAGCGCCCGCTGCCAGGCAGCGCCGTGCCGGCCTGCTGGTGGCAGAGCGGAGCCGCGGTGCCAGGCTGGGGCGCAGAGCCCTCGCTGAGCCGCGTGGTGTCCCGTTGCCCACCGGGCTCCGGCGCTGCCCCTTGGAGCAGAGCCGCGTCGGCGGAGCCGGCAGCGCGCCTCTCCCCCTGCCCAAGCCGTGCCTGGTGGGTGGCGCTGCATCCCTGTGCCCCCAGATGGAGTCTGCCTGCGTCACCATCCACGAGGCGCTGAACGCGGTGATCGACTCCCAGACTCACTACCGCCTGCGGGAAGCGCAGGACCGCAGCCGGGCTGAGGACCTCAACGGGCGCGTCTCGTATTGGTCGGCTGGGGAAACCGTCATCCTCTTCGTGGTCAGCGTTGGGCAAGTGATGCTGCTCAAAAGTTTCTTCACTGAGAAGAGGCCGGGCAGCAGTGCAGCTGGCACCTAATGCCACAGCTGTGCCATCCCAAACTACAGGAGGGAGCGGGGGTTTTCATGGTGCTGCAGTGGGGACGTGGCTGGGGATGGCATGGGGAGTGCTGCTGTTGCTCGCCCGGGTGCAAAACAGCTGCCAAGCACCAGCATCCCCACACATATCGGCAGCAACCCCCAAGATGTCACCTGCCCTCACCATGCGCCGCCAGCCCAGGTCAGCTCCCCACCTGCAGACTGCAGGCTTTGCATCTGGCTGCGTGCGCACGGCTCCCTGCTGTGCCTGCAGTGGGCAGGTTGTGCCCCGAGCGCACACAGCATCTTCCATGTTGAAATTTCAGCAGGGGCTCTTGGCTTCTTTATTTTGTCTGCTTCTCCCTGTGCAGCGTTTCCTAGGCCACAGGAGTAAGCAGCATGCTCCACAGAAGATGTTTTTGTACTTAGCTGAGTCCATGCTGGAGCCCCATCCCCTTCCCTTAGTCCTAGCCCTCAGGGGCAGCTGGCTGCAGCACCCAGCCAGCTTCAGCAGCACCACTTTGTCCTTCCACTTTGCCACTTCACAATAAACCCACACGATTCTGTTCCTGCTGCTGTTATTGGGCACTGCTCCCAGCATGGCATGGCAAGCTCCTGCCCCATCGTGCCCCAGAGCCCCCCAGTGCTGTCAGCGACTGTGCATGGCTGCTGCCCTCCTGGGGACCTGGCATGACACTGCTCCTCGTGCATGGCTGCACCTGCAGGTGCAGTGCCATGCCATGCAGCCATGGTGTGGGATCAGGGCATCAGCACCATCCTTCAGCCCTGCCATTGCCAGCCTGCAGGGACTGCAGCTCTGTGCTCAGCTCCCTCCCAGCTCCCTGCAGCAACTGTGGGGCTCTTGCGGTGCCTCCAGAGCCCAGCCTACCCTGGGGCCGTGTCCAGCCCTGCTGCAGAACGGAGTGCAGGGATGTGTGCCCAGAGCTCACAGTGCCCATCCCACCCATGCACCTGCTGGAGTAACACCAGGCTCCTACTGCAGGCCTCTATCCAAGGGGATGCATTTTGTCAGCTCCAAATTCCTCCTGTATCCACTGCCCGCTTGCACTCTGTGCCAGGTCCAGGCTGGTCCAGCAGCAGCGTCAGGATCTGACAAATGCATTTACAATTCCATGCACCAGATCCGGGGAACCCCATTGAGGAGTGCCTCACTGCCCTCTCCCCACCAGCAGCCCCCACCCTTGCAGGGACCCCAGCCACAGCCCACGCTGGGGCCGGGGCTGCAGCCCCCACAGTAGCAGAGCAGCAAAGCTGCGTCCCTGGCCCCGGCAGCACTACTGGCCTTGGAGCAGCTGCTGTGCTGCTGGGCGCTGCCAGGCTCCTGCACCTCGCAACGACCTTCAGCAGCAGCTCAGATCCTGTCCCCAGCAGCAGGCGGGTGCAGGGCTGGCACAGGAGCAGAGGGACTGCAAGCCCTGCTTGCTCTGTGCAGCCCCCAGCAGCGCTGTGGGGATGTCAGAACCACCCTGCCCTTGGGGACAACAGCCAGGGTCCCTACACGACCCATCCCCAGCCCCAGTGCAGCCACGTCCACAGATGCAGGCAGAACACAAGATGGCCACAGGATGCTTTATTACTGTGTTGTGCTCCAGCACGTAACATAAATGGGTGCAGAGAGGGAAGAGGGGTGGCTCACACCCACCTGGCTGTAGGAGCAGCTCTGCCCTACCACTTACAGAAGCATTTTGGAGCAGAGCCCCCACCGCCTGCCCTTGCTGTTGTGCCCTTCCGGACACAGAGTGCCATCTTCATGGCATCAGGCTGCCCTGGCTCACAGCGCACTGCTCTGGCAGGAACTAGCCCCAGCAGGCAGCTCCAGCTCGATAAGTGGCTGTGGCCCCTCCGTGCCCCCTATACTCTGCCTGCCCCGCAGGGATGAGGCCGAACAGTGGAAGGAACCCGTGGCTGAGGAGGGTGGCTCAGGCTCAGGGTTGTGCCCGCAGGGACAACTGCAGCGCCTCTGGAAGGGGATGGTGAAGAGCCCGTAGGTGATGGGGTCCAGGCAGGCATTGAAGAGGCCGAAGATGAAGAGGATGTGGGAGAGGGATGGTGGGACCTTTTGCTGCATGGCCCGTGGGCAGAACCAGTACCACAGCCCCAGCAGGTAGTAGGGGGTCCAGCAGAGGATGAAGGAGGAGACGATGACCAGGCTCATCTTCAGCGTGCGCAGCCGTGCCCGTGGGATGTTGCTCCCAGAGCACCGCAGCGGCACGTCCCTGGAGGAGACTGAAACATGGGAGTGGGACCGGTGAGCGGGGGGCTCAGGGTGGTAACCACACCCCAAGCAGGGAGCAAGGACCCCCACCATCCCGGCTGAGGCCGCACACTCGGATCTGCTCGCAGCCCCCCTGCCAGCCCCACTCACAGAGGCCGGAGCCCATGCGCCGGGAGATCTCGAGCAGGATGCGTGTGTAGCAGCACACCATGATGAGCAGTGGCAGCAGGAAGAGGCAGGAGAAGCTCAGCATGTTGTAGAGGGTCTCGTGCCAGGGCTGCGGGAAGCTGCCGCGCGTGGTGCACTGCGTGAAGTTGTGCGGGGCGTGCAGGGTGACGGTGTGGAAGAGGAACAGCTGGAAGCGGAGCAGAGGTGGGACGGGGCTGAGATGGAGACCCTGCCCCTCCCCAAGAGGCACCCAGGGGTCTCAGAGCACCTGAGCCGCAGGGTTGGGCCCCGCACCGAGGGCTCACGGCGCTGCCACTCCTGAGAAGCCCCCGGGGCCCCCAGGAGTGCGGGGTGCGTGGGGCTGGCAGGCACCTGCGGCGCAGCGAGCGCGGCGCTGAGCATCCACGCGGCACGGAGCATGGCGCGGTTCCTGCGGCGCGCGCGGGCGATGGCCAACGGGCGCAGGATGGCGGCCTGCCGGTCCAGGCTGATGACGACGGTGACGAAGGCGGAGGCGTACATGGCCAGCAGGCGCAGGTACATGAGGAGGCGGCAGGCCAGGTCGCCCGCCCGCCACTGCAGCGTGATGTTCCAGACGGCATCCGACGGCATCACCACCACCGTCACCAGCAGGTCGGCGGCAGCCAGGTGCCGCAGCAGCAGGCGGATGTGGGAGCGCCCGCCGCCCCCTCGGCCCCCTGCCGCCCGCAGCACCGCCACGTTGCAGCCGGCCGAGAGCACGAAGAGCACGAAGGTGGCTGCCACACGGGCCTGGGCCGCGGGCGAGAAGGTGGGGAGCAGCAGCGGCTCCTCGGCACCCTCGGAACGGGGGCTCCAGGCACAGCCCTGCTTGGGGTGGGACGTGATGCTGGAGGGCTCTGTGCTGACGTTCCCCGCCTCGGGGCCTGGGTCCAGCCAACCCCCTCCTGCTGCGATAGGCAGATGGGCAGCACGGCCCGCGCAGGGCTGGGGGTGCTCAGGGGAGGGGGTGACCTACCGACCCACCCAGAAGCCCACCTCAGCTCTTGGCATTCCCATCTGCAGCCCCGGCACCCAGAGAACTGTGGGATTCCGGCATCGCAGGTAAGCATGGGGAAGTGGTCTCAGCCTCCCCTGCCCCCTGCCTGCCCCAGGCCATCGCTGCCGCCCTGTCCACCCCACTCCAGAACATCCCTCGTGGTCCCACTCAGGGACAAAGGCACTCCCCGGTGCAGGAGCCCTTTGGTGCAGCACCCCATGCTCCCTGCACCCATCTCCCTGCACACCTCACCTGCTGCAGCAGCATCCTGCCCCGTTCCCCCGCCGAGCCGGGCCATGTCAGGGCTGCTCAAACACCACCCACTCGCTGCTCCCAGTGCTCCCACATTGGCACCAGCTGCATCCAGCCAGGACGCGGGCAGCAGGGCCGGCACTGCAGCACTCTGCTGCCTGCAGCCACCTCCGCTCCCGCCCAGCACCCTGCTGGCTGCTGCCCTTGGCAGCTCAGGTTGCTCCTTGACGTAGCCAGCCTGCATGGAACGACTCCGTCCTTTACCCCGCATCACCCACTCACGGATGAGCGTGAACAGCCTCATGCACACAGACACACGTGCACAAATGAACACGGTGTGTTACCAGCCCGACAGGCCTGCATCCAGGCGCTGCAGGGTGCCCAGAGCTGGGGTTGCTGCTGCAGAGCCGTGTGTGTGGGGTGCACAGTGCTCGTTGCTTTGGAGTGCATCGTTTGTGGGGACCCGAAGATGCGCAGGTCCCATCTCCCGGCTCCTCCGTAGGACCAGGGCTGCGGGCTGGGGGAGGGGAACGCGGCTCTTTTGCATCTCAAAGGCTGCGTCTCCCAGGCGGAGGGCATTACCGTAATTAGCAAGTCACCTCAGTCATTTCACAGATAAGCGGGGCTCATTAGCCCTGCAGACCTCCTGCCCCAGGGACCCCGGTGCGCGTTAGCATCTGCCCGCCAGTCCCGGAATGGGGCTCCGCACCGCTCGACAGCCCGACCCGCGGGGATCCCCTGCAGCCAAGTACCCGCCCTCCACCCGGGACCCGCGGGGTCTCCAGCTCGGCGGGGTGCGGCCCCCAGGTGACCCTGCGACGTGGGGCCCTCCCAGGCTCCGGGCACGGGGTGCAGACATCGCTCAGCTGTCAGTGAGCAGCACCTGGGCAGTGCTGGTGAGCTCCATTCCCAGAGCTGGAGGTGTCTGTCCTGATACCTCCCGGCAATTGCTTTCCCAGATGCTGTCCCCAGCTGCACGCTGCCGGCTCAGGGCCCCGCAACGGTGCTGGCTCTGTGTCACAGCCCCTGCCCATGCCCAGAGAGATGCCCTGGTGCAGTTTCCCCAGCTCAGCTGTCCTCTCAGCCCCAGCATGACGGCTGTGCATGTTGCACCCATCCCGCGCCCAGCAGTTGCTGCAGGAATGGCCACGTGGCGACAGTCAGACTGGGCAAAGGGGTTTATTTATGTACAGTCACAGTATATTATGTACAGTCCCAGCCAGCATGGATCCGGGCTCCAAGCACCTTGCTTTCACCACCCCCTTGCTGTCCAAGGGGGGACACACGTCTCCCTGGGTCCTGCAAGTTGTGGGCATCCGATGGTGCGTGGCTCAGTCCTGGGGCTGCGGTGGGAGCAGAGCCTCCAGCAGAGAGAGCAGATCTGCTGAGATGTCCTGTGGGGAAGAGAGAATCGGTGAGGAAAGCACCGATGCCAGGGCAGGGATGCAGGGCAGGGCTGGGCGTGGGTCAGCAGCATTAGGGGCTGGCAGAGCCCACCGTCAGGAAGGCACCCACTCAGGTACCAGCAGGGCTCTGTGCTACCTGATAGGAGCCCAAACGATGCAAGGAAGGGTGGGAGCAGCTGGAGGATCCAAGCACCCCACATACACATGCCATAGGGTAGAGGGGGGTCCTCTCCATTCCCAATCCCAGACTACATCATTGTGACCCCAACACCACTTCCACACACCACAGGAGCACTTCGAGCACCCACCAGAGAGATTGTGCCCAGCCCCACATCAGTATCCCAGCTCCACGGCCACACACATACCTGGGTGACCATCTCTGCATCCACAAAGTCTGGCAGCAGCAGCCCTGTGTCGAAGATGGGGTCACTGGGGGGGTCTGAAGAGGTCCCTGCCACTGCACAGTGAGGAGAGAATGGCCAGGAGGACACGTCGGAGGCAAGAGCCTCGTGCAGCTCCGGGGGGGTCCCCGCGGTGGGGCTGTAGGACGGTGATGACCAGAGCCCCATCCCCACGTCAGGAACCACGTGCAGCTGCGGACAGGTCTCCAACACGGGGCCGTTGGAGAGCGACCCCCAGGTCCCCGTCCCCGCATCCAGAGCCCCGCGCAGCTCTGGGGGGGTCCCCCAACCCTCCGAGCCGGGGGGCGAATTCTCCTGCGGGGCTGGGGAGCGCGGCCGGGGCTGCGGGGGCTGGCAGCAGCCCAGGCCCCCGGGGCAGAGCGGGCAGCGGCGGGCGGCCGCCCCGCGGCGCAGTAGCAGCACCTCCTCGCTGAGGCCCAGCAGCGCCGAGAGGTGGGCGATGTAGCGCGTGGCGAGGCGCAGGGTCTCGATCTTGGTGAGGCTCTGCCCGGCGGGCGCCAGCGCGGGTGGTAGGTAGTGCCGCAGCCGGTGCATGGCCTGCGCCAGCCGCCGCATCCGCAGCTTCTCCCTCTCGCTGGCGCTCTGCCGTGAGCCCCCGGCCGCCCCTGATCCCCTCCTGCCCGCCGGACCGCGGCGCGGTGCCCTGGCAGGGGGTGAGAGGCCGCAGGAGTCGGGTGAGGGTGCCGGCGAGCTGCTGCTGTAGCCCTCGGGCTCAGGCACGGCGGGGAGACCCCAGTCGTGCAGCGGAGACGCGGTGCGGAGCGCGAGGCCGGGAGCTGCCTGGTGGGCCATGGCTGAGGGCTGAGAGCCGCCGGCCCCGGAGCCCCGGCTTTATGCCGGGCCGGAGGTGTGAAGCGGCACCTCCGTGGCCGGCGTCGGCAGCACTTCAAAGGCGGGGGGCGAGGGCAGCCGTCCTTTGAACAGGCGGGTGAGGATTTTTACCCCGGTGGTGTGAGGCTGCTCCGCGCTGCCCACCCCCCGGCACTGCCCGCATCCCAGCACCGGCTCTGGCCCGGGGCCGGGGGAGCCCCCCCAGCAGGGATGCACGCGGGGTCTGCGGTGCGGTCTGCCGCAGGGTGCGTGCGGTGGGCTCGGCTGCTCGGCCGGCAGCGGGCTGCGCGCTGCGAGCTCTGCGGTGCAACGCGTGCTGCAGACATAGTGGGGCTGGCACGTTTCTCTGTCCCCTCGCGTCCCCGGTCCGGTAGTCCCAGAGCCCAGCACCGCGCTGTTCCAGCCCATCCTGCTCCCCAGTGTGACCTACGGGCCAGGGTGGGTCCAGCACCGTGCCACCACCCTCAGCCGGGGCAGCGGGCTTTGCCCAGGCCCCCCTGCAGTCCCGCTAATGGCATTTCACATGTTGGCACTAATGAGCCCTGACGCCTGTGGAGCCGCCCGGCTCTGCCTACAGCCGGTGCCCAAAGTCCACTGCTGTGACTGACAGCCTCCGCGCTGCACCCCCGACCCCCGCCTGCCCCCATATCCCACAGCAGCTCTGACCCTGCTGCCCCAGTCCCGATCTCCAGTCCCTGCAGTAGCACCCGCAGGCGGCACAGCCCCACAGACCCCGGCCCCTCCCGGCATTCGTGGCCCTGTCCCCGCTCCGGGGGCTGGGAGGGGGCTGGGAGGGGGCCCCCCGCCGCGTTCCCAGGCCCCGCACAGGAGTCGCGCGCTGCGGGTGTAAAGGTTTCCAGGGAAACCCGGCACCGCGCGGGAAGGAAAACAGATCAGGGAGAGCGCGCTTGGAAGGCCGGGGGGGAGAGCATCCCTGTGCCGCTGCGCGGCCCCACCGCACCGCAGCTGCACATCGGCGGCGCAGCCTGGCCGTGCGCTGGGACGGCCCCTGCGTGGCACGGGGTGAAGCAGCGCACGCAGCCCCCAGGGCAGGACGTGCGCAGCCCCTGATAGCGGGGGTGCTCAGCCTCTCTGCTCGCGGGGCACAGAGCTGCGCGCAGGGCACGGAGCCGGGCACGAGGCACGGAGCCAGCTGCGGTCACGGGGTGCGCCGCTCCACGGGGAAGTGCTGGCGATGGGACTGCGTGAGCCACCGCTTCATCAGCAATGGTCACATGAAAGTCATTCGGTTTTCCCCGCGCATGCTGTGACATGGAGGTGGTGACATCAGCCCTGCCTATCAGTCACCCCCGGTGGGGCCGCGGCACATCCGCACTCCTCGCCACGCTGGGCAGCACCAATACTGGATCTCCATCCCTCAGCAGTCACGCTGTGTGGGTGTCACTGCACCTGAGCACACAGCAGCGCCGACACAGCAGGCACTCCCTGCCCACCACGCACTGTGCCCAGCACTGTTGGAGCCACGCACACCCTGGTGCACGCCGTGCTGGCAGGGCACATCACCGCAGGGCACCCAGGCACCCTCCACCCTGCTTCAGGCTGTCTGCCACCAGCCGGGTGCCACAAGGACACAGCATTTTTCACCCCGCGGATGCCACAGATGCAGCGGATAAATGCTGGTGATTTCCCAGCTGTTCCTCTGCCCTCGGTGGAAGAAGTGCCCCTGCGCCATCCCATCCGAGGTCTGAGCACACTGGAATGCTGTACAGCTCTGTGCTCAGGCTCCTGACACCAGCTGCACACCCACAGGGTTGGAGCTGCACTGGGGACCTGGGGGTCTGCAGAGGATCCAGCCCAGAAGCGCAGAGGGGTGTTTGGGGGCGCTCAGAGGGAGCTCCACAGCCACGGGCACAGCCTTGGGCACAGCCCCTTCCCCACACATCCCCCTGCGCAGTCCCACAACTGCTCCCCCCTGTTCCCAGACCCCCTCCTGTGTCTCATTAGCTGACGAGCTCCCAGGTAATGAGTTTTGCGGCCCTGCTGGGCAGGCACTTCCCACCTCCCTCAGTGTTTAGACAAGTGCTGGAGCGCGGCCGGGGCTGGGGTCAGAGCCCCTGCAGAGCAGTGCCTGCAGCTCCCTATCGGGGAGCCGGGATCCCCTGCTCCCTCCATGCTGTGCTGATGGAATGCAGCACAGGGCACTGCGCTGAGGGTGCAGGGATAGATTTTGGAGGCCAGGAACCCAGATCCAAACCTGAGCACTCCTGCAGCTCCCATCCCATCTTGGCACCCTCCTGCCCAGCACCAGCTCTTAACCCCAGGATCTCCCACCCACAGTTCTACTGGCTGAGCCCAAAGGCCGCAGGCAGGACCTGTGCCCTGGAGCACCTCACCACAGTGCTGCCCACATGCTGGGGTCAGGGCCTGGGGTTTGCCACAGCTGGGCAAGCAGCATAGCTCACTGCGTGTCCACAATCACACCGATAGTGTGCCCAGTTGCATGTAAGCATCTCAGGGACACACAGCAGCATCCCACAGAGTCAGGGAGACTGAAGCAGCATGGCTGGATGCAGAGACACTCAGGACCCCCATCTTTCAGCCACGCAAGGGGCAGAGCGGTGCGGGGATGCCAGAGATGCTGGCAATGGAAGGTCAAGGCCTTGCTGCCCCATAGTGCCGTGCCGCAGTGCGGGTGCTGGCAGGGCTGGTCGGCACGTTAGCATCTCTCATGACCGTGTGAATTGGTCCTTGCACACTTCCCAGCACTGGGCAGTGACAATTAAGGGCTGGAGGAGTCAGAACTGACACCTCCGCAAATGGGTCCGGCTTTCCCAGGCTCCCGGTCCAGTCCCAGCCCACACCATGTAGGTTTTGACACCTCCAGGTGGCCACAGAATTGCCACCTCACACCTTGGGCCCACATAAAGCCAGGGCTGCCCAAGGACCCCCAGACGTGCGCAGCCCCAGAGTGGAGCCCACCATGGCCGGGTCCCCACTGCCGCCCCGCAGCCTCCAGACCCCAACAGCCGCCACCCCGACACCAACCGGGGAGCTCTGCAGACCCAGCAGTGGGTCCGGGCTGCGGCAGTGCTGCGGTCCGGCGGGCAGGAGGGGATCAGGGGCGGCCGGGGGCTCACGGCAGAGCGCCAGCGAGAGGGAGAAGCTGCGGATGCGGCGGCTGGCGCAGGCCATGCACCGGCTGCGGCACTACCTACCACCCGCGCTGGCGCCCGCCGGGCAGAGCCTCACCAAGATCGAGACCCTGCGCCTCGCCACGCGCTACATCGCCCACCTCTCGGCGCTGCTGGGCCTCAGCGAGGAGGTGCTGCTACTGCGCCGCGGGGCGGCCGCCCGCCGCTGCCCGCTCTGCCCCGGGGGCCTGGGCTGCTGCCAGCCCCCGCAGCCCCGGCCGCGCTCCCCAGCCCTGCAGGAGAATTCGCCCCCCGGCTCGGAGGGTTGGGGGACCCCCCCAGAGCTGCGCGGGGCTCTGGATGCGGGGACGGGGACCTGGGGGTCGCTCTCCAACGGCCCCGTGTTGGAGACCCGTCCGCAGCTGCACGTGGTTCCTGACGTGGGGATGGGGCTCTGGTCATCACCGTCCTACAGCCCCACCGCGGGGACCCCCCCGGAGCTGCATGGGACGCCGGGCTTTATGTCACAGCCCTCACCATCACCGCTGTGCAGCATCAGAGCAGCGACCCTGATTGAGCCCCCGCGGAGATGCGCAGCAACCACAGGCACCAGGACAGGTCCCTCCTGCTGCACGGAGCCCGCAGCCCCCTCCCTGCATCCTGGGATGAGAGCAAAGGCCATGGGACCTTCAGGACTCCACACATGCGGCTCTCAGGTACACACGGGTGCATGCGGGCTGACGGTGGAGCCTGGGATGTGGTGGGGTGGGATGGAGGATGCTCTTGCAGTGCACGTGTGTGCTGTGACCAGGGTGACTGCATGGAGTGGGGGCACAGCACAGGAGATGCAGAGCCAGCCCAGGATGCATGCAAGTGGCCACAGCACTGCCCCACGCAGCCGCCTGACACACAGCCTTTCTGCAGATCGGCAGCCCCCTGGACCAGGACGTGTTCATCTCCTCCGACGTCCACGGGACCCCTGTCCTGCCCGGCTGCAGCCCCGCACGGTGCTGGGGGTGGTGGAGCTGATGCGGTGCCCACAGCTGATGACGCAGCGTGGGGACAGTGCCAAGAGGCACTGCGGGACACTGGGAGGGGCTCCTCATTAAAGCTGCTGTGCACTGCTGCACTTTGCCTTTGGTTATTGCGGGGCTCCTGATCACTGCGTTCCGACAGGGAATGGGGCCCCGGGTGGGGTTGTGGGAGGGCAATGTTCAGCCTTCACTTCCACATTACACACCTCGATGTGCTGCCCCCAGTCTCGGGGCTTGGTGTACTGTCCCACAGCTCAGAGACGTCCCCAGGGCTGGAGTGACAGAGGGACCCCATTTCTGGTCTCCCTCAGCCCTCCACCTGCCCAAGTCCCACCGACCGCCGGGGCACAGTGCCCATCCACCCGCCGACCCCTCCATCCCTTCTGCACCCACGAGGGTTTGGGGTTGGGGCTCGAGGAGCTGCGCCGCCCCCCCCGGAGCGCCGCGGCCGAGCTCACACGCAGCCGTCAGACGGAGAGGCCGAGCGCTGGCGTCGGCGCAGCCCCCGGAGCCACTTAGCACCGGGCTCCTAACAGCCTCTGCTCCAGCCATTTCCTGCCCCGGCCCCGCTCAGCTTCGCAGCCGCTGCCACACCGCGCTCCCGTGCACCTCTTTATTTACGAGACCCCACGTCTGGCACGAGCCCTCGCTGTGCCCGGCCCCGTGCCCCCCCGCCCATCATCCAGGCGCCGGGCGCTTCCCGTCACGAGCAGCGAAGGGCTCGGCCGGGCGGGCCGGGGCGGCGGGCGGCAGCGCTCCGGGGTGGGCGCGGGACGGGGACGGAGCGGGCGAGCGGCCGGAGCGGCTTCGGGGAGCGACGGCGGACCCCGCGGCGCGGCGGTGCGCAGAGCAGACTTAGCTGGAGGCGGTCTCGGCGCTGAACCAGGCGAGCACGACCTCCTTGTTCTCATTCACCCAGTTGATGTTGGTCCTGGTCCGCTCCAGCGCCTGCTCCAAGGCGCGCGTCCCCGAGCCGAAGCCGACGTCCTGGTTGTCTGCCTTGAACTGCTCCAGCTGCGAGGGGGGGGACAGAAGGGCTGGGGAGGCGGGGGGACCCCGCAGCGAGCACACCGCGACGGCAAGCGGAGCAGGGCACATGCAGGGCTCGGCGGGACAGAGGGACCCGGGTGCAGAGGTGCCAGCTGGCAGCCGCTCACCTGCTGCAGCTCAAACTCCGTGTTGAAGCGTTGGGTGACGGCTGTAATCAGCCGGGAGAAAGAGAAGGAGCCACCGCCGTACCTGGGGGACGGGACAGATGGCTGAGCCGTGTTGGAGCTGCCCAGCGTCCCCCCCGGCACACAGGCAACTGCTGCTGCTGCTGCTCCCCGCCCCACGCAGTGCTCACTGGCTGAAAAGTGTCTTCCAGTTGCCTCGGATGAAGTCCCAGGCCAGCGGCTGCCCCACCACGTTGCTGGCGATGCTGTTGATGGTGGAGGTGGCGTCCTGCCTGCGGATCTTGGTGGAGTCAAGGGTGTACTGCAGGTACCTGGGTGGGGGGAGCTGCCAGGTGAGAGGCTGCGGGGGCAGAGCCGGGCCCCCCCCAGCCCTGCACCCACCGCTGGAGGATCCAGGGTTCAGTGCTGCAGGTCAGGGCTGTGCGCAGCTTGTCGGCCTCGGACACCACAGGAGCCTCGAGGAAGCGCTCCCATATGAAGTCCCACGCCTCCTCCCCGCCTGTGGCCACGGCGCTGCAGTAGATGGCGGAGCGCAGGTTCGGGGTGATGCTGTCGGGGAGAGATGTCTCAGCACGGAGCCCAGCCTCTCTGTGCCCAGCCATGGCACTGCAGCACTCACGGGTTGTTGCTGACATTGTTCTTCCACTGGTTGAAGAGGTCGGTGGCCAGCTTCTGGCACTCAGTGATGCCGTAGGAGCAGGCTGTGCTGATGGCATTGACCTCGTTGTACCTGGGGGAGAGAGCAGCCCGCAGGGCTGGGATGGGCGCACAGCCTCTGGCACCCACTGGCCACATGGGGGGCTGCGCGTCCCCCCTGGAGCACAGTGCAGTGAGTGCCGCACTGTGCACAGGGCAGCAGGCAGCCCAGAGCTCTGCGGCACTCACTGATCCATCAGGTTGACGGGGATGGTTGTCCAGTTGCTGGTGATGCTCTTGTAGTGCTCAAAGAGCGGAGTCACTTGCTTCTGGATGTATTTCTGCAGGGCGGGTGGGCAGGGCTCAGCATGCAGCCCCCACAGCAGCCCCGGCCCTCAGCACCCCCTGGGGCTGCGCTCACCCTCATGGGCCCGAACACTTCGCTGCGGTCGAACATCAGCTGGAAGTACTGCAGGTTGCTGAGCGCTGCCTGCCAAGGCATGTACTCTGTCTCCCTGCTCAGGAAGCGCGTGGTATTCAGTGCCAACGTCACATCGACTTGCAGTGCCCTGCAGCGGGGAGATGGCAGCGTGGAGATCCCTGTGCCACCCGTGCCGTGCATCCCACCAGGCCGCCCGGCCACCCCGCTCACCTGGCCAGGTTGAAGGCATCATCGATGATCTGCGCCCGGTTGATGACGGGGATGACCTGGGGGAGAGCAGAGGCGGTGCCACAGGGCAGCACCAGCGTGGGGCGTGTGGGATGGGAGTCCCACGTACCTGGTGGTTGTCGGAGAGCTGCTGCAGGAGCTGATCCCAGTTCTCCTGGTTGTAGTTGACGCGGAAGTAGCCGCTGACGTTGAGGTTCAGCAGGAGCCAGGTGGAGCTGCCCACACTGAAGTCGGTGTTGGTGTCTGTGCAGGCAGAGGGGTTCTGCTCCTGCCCCGAACCCACCAGCACATGGGGGGGCAGCGAGCCCCCAGCCCAGACCCCAGCACCATACCTGAGACGTTCACCAGCCAATACCTGTCCCCAGTTCTGCTAGGCGTCATCCAGGTGATGGGGACAATCCAGGTGTAGCTGTGCAGGGGACACAAGGCCAACAGCCATTTCTCACCACCCACCCCCCCCATCCCCTCCACACTCCACAGCACCACAGTCCCAGCCCCACTCACTCGAACACGGAAGGTCTCTCCACTGTGGAGTTGGAGTCGAGAAGGAAGTGGCTCTGCTTGATGCTGCCATTGAGTGTGTTGACAGTCACCAAAGGGAAACCCATCTGCAGCGTCCAGCGGTCCATGATGTCACTGATGGTGTTGGGCAGAGGCACGCTGTTGTTGTTGACAGCCTGTGAGAGGTGTTGGCAGTGTTCCCCGGTGCTGTGGGGCCCAGACCCATGCAGGAACCGAACCCCTCGCCCAGGGGAGAATGCAGCCACTGGACCCGGAGGGGGTGGGGAGGGTGGGAGCAGCACGGAGAGCTGCCCACTCCGCTCATACCTCCTGCAGGTGGTCCCACAGGTCTGTGTACACGGTGTTTCCGTAGGCAAAGGTGTGGAGGTAGGACTGCAGGAGAGCACCAGGAAAGCTGGGTGGGGAGGGGCAGAGGAGCCCCATGGAGCCCCAGGGAGGAGAAAAAGACCACCTGCCGCAGACACATGCACCACAACGCAGCCCAGCAACCCTCAGCTCACCTGCAGCCCCTCCTTGAACACGTCTTCAGTGAGGAAGTCAGAGAGCATCCGCAGCACCGATGCTCCCTGTGGAAACAGCAGTGAGGTTCTGAGCACACAGCGACCGCCGGGGACCTCGCGCTGCCCGATGCTGAGCACCCACCTTGCTGTAGGCGATGCTGTCAAAGACCTCGCTGATCTCTGCTGGAGTGTTGATCTCATCCTCGCTGAAGGTGAGCGGGTGGGAGGTGGTCAGGGCATCGGTCGCCATCACCGAGTGCAATTCATTCAGTACCATCAGGTCTTTCTGCGGGGGTCGGTGCAGCCATCAGCGCAGCATTTGCAGCAGGGCAGCACCTGGGCGCTGGGCAGCAGGGGGTGCCCGTGCCCTTGCCTCATATCCCCATGCCCATGCCTTGTGCCACATACTTGTCTCCCGTGCCTCATGCTCCACACCCACGCTCCAGGCCCCAGACACATGCCCCACATCCCGTACCTGTGCTCTACACAGCATACCCGTGCTCTGTACAGTATAACTCTACTCTGAGCCCCACACACGTGCCCCAAGTCCCATACACACGCCCTATGCCCCACGTCGCTGGGACCAGCACTCACAATGTTCCAGGTGGGCTCTGCTGAGTCTGCGCCCAGGTACTCCACGTAGGAGGCAAAGCCCTCGTTCAACCACAGGTCATTCCACCACCGCAGCGTCACCAGGTTCCCAAACCACTGCAGAGGAGCAGAGCGCCCTGTCAGCGGGGCACTGTGGCTCCAGGGGCGAGCAGGGGCCCGGCAGGTACCTGATGGGCCAGCTCGTGGGCGATGACGGTCACCACGCGCTCCTTGTTGGCAATGGAGGAGTAGGCATTGTCATAGAGCAGCGCGTTCTCCCGGTAGGTGACCAGTCCCCAGTTCTCCATCGCGCCCGCGTTGAAGTCGGGCAGGGCGACCTGATCTGGAGGATGGAGAGGCGCCATTGGCACATGGCCACAGCTGGAGCAGCTGCCAGCAGCACAGCATGGCCCCACGGCCCCCGCACCCACCGGACTTGGGCAGCGGGTATGCCGTGTTGTAGTGCCTCTCAAAGAAGCTGAGGATGGGTCCGGTCTTTTCGAGCGCGTATTCGCCCTGCCCTTCAGCGATGGCTGCGGGGCGGCCCCAGATGCGGATCTGAGAGGAGAGATGGTTCCAGGCTCAGCTGCTGCCCTGGCTGCACCTTGGGTGCGCGGGACGGCGCTCAGCTCACCTGCACCTCCCCAGTGTTGTCTTCTATGTAGTTAAACTGGCTGACGATGAAGGCCAGCAGGTAGGTGGACATCTTGGGCGTGGGGTTGAACTGGGTGACGTTCCAGCTCTGCCCATCCATCTCCAGCTGGTAGGTGTCTGCAGGGAGCACGGAGCAGCTCAGCCGCCCGCCCGCCCACCCGGCACAGAGCTCCCCTGCCCCACTCACTGTTGGCAGGCATGTTGGAGATGGCCTTGTGATCGGAGGGGTGGATCATCGTCACCGTGAAGACGGCCTTCATGGCCGGCTCATCAAAGCAGGGGAAGGCTTTTCTCGCATCAGGGGCCTGCATCTGTGTGGTGGCCACCACCCTGCAAGCGAACCCATCAGCACCACGGCGCCCGGGCTCTCGTCCCCTCTGCCAAGGGGCTGACAGCCCGTGAGGAGCCAGAGTCCCCTGCCCGCTCACAAGGGCGCATGCACACAGGCAACCTGCACTCATGGAGAGGCTCCTGGCACCGCGGCCACCTCCCCCCGCAGCGCCATGCCCCCTCCCCGCCAGCCTTGCGCCTACTTGGTGACGTTGCCCTCGGTGTACTCGCTGCGGTAGAATCCAGCCAGATCGTCAGCCAGCTCCCCGGTGAAGTTGCTGAAGAGGCGGTAGCTCTGGCCCTGCTGCAGCGGCCCGGCCAGCTGCACCACCAGGTACTGCGTGTTGGTCTCCAGCCACGTGTTGCTGATGGCGGGCGGTGTGGAGCCGTTCACCGCGTGCAGCGAGGCGTGGAAGCCATTCTGCAGCGTGTAGTTCAGCTTGTTGCTGTGGATCAGGATCAGGTCGGTGGCTTCCTCGCAGGTGAAGACCACGCTGCTGTTGCCCCTAAAGATGTACATGTTGTTGGCATCAGGCGTCAGGAAGGGCTGCAGCGTCACCTCGTAGCTCTCCGGCTTCAGCGCCGTCGGCAGCCGCCAGCGGTTCCAGGGGTTGTCGGGGGCAGTGGTGGTGCTGGCAGTGGTGGTGGTGGTGGTGGTGGTGTCGGTGCTGCCGCTGCCTCCTGATGATTTGTTCTTCTCCTGTGCATACACCACAGACAGCGCAATGATGGTGGCCACGGCACCCAGCGCCAGCACGATGCCCACGATGCCCACACTCTTGCTGATGAAGAAGCCGGCTGCCATGGCGAGGCTGCGGAGCGGCGTGCAGAGGAGCTGTGCTGGGCTGGCACGGCTTTTAGCCTCTTGCTTCCACAGGGTTTATTAGTCCAAGTTAATGGGTGAACAATTAAAAGACCATGAGGCTCAGGATGAGCCTTCCACCCACCCGCCTCCCCACACTGCAGCTGCGCTAATCCCAAGCACTGGGGCACTGCGGGAGCTCAGGGCTGCACCTCCAGGGATGGGCACAGGAGCGGGCATGGCTCCGGGCCAGGGCTCCCGGCATCCCTCCAGGGCAGCGGTGTGGCCCTGCAAAAGGAGGGACAGAGAGGGGTCACAGCCAGCAGCCGCATCCCCACCTCACCATAGGGAAGGCAGTGCAGCAGGGCGGGTGCTGGCCCTCAGCAAGGGCACAGCCAGGGCCCCCTGTGCAGGCAGGGAGAGCACGGCATCGCAGCTGGGGGTCCTCAGAGCCAGGGAGGAACTCCCCTGCCTCTCAAAGCCCAGGGCTGCATTAACAGGTGTGCGCTGGGAGCTCGAACTCCAGCACTCACATACCCCGCACAGGCTGGCCATACCGCACCCAGCAGCTCCCCATGTGCCCCTGAGCTGGGGATCCCAAACCGCACAGCACACAGCTGGGAGAATGCTGGTGGGCCTGGGGGCTCAGTTTGGCCTGCGCCTCCCAGCTGGGAGCTGAGCAAAGGCACCGGGCCAGGCGCGCTGCAAGTGGTTCATGACCAGGACACACCTTCCTCGTGCACCTGCCTGCATGGGAGAGCAACCCCAACCTCACTGGGCTGATCCCCCTGAGCTCTGCCCAGGGCTCCCATGGGCACAGCCAAAGACAAAGGAGCAAAGTCCCCATGCAGGGCAAGGTGGGGAAGAGAAAACATTGTGTGCACCTCACAATGGGAATAGAAACTCGTTTTCCCAAGGACTGATACCTCCAGCAGTGTGACCCGGGCTGGTACAGCTGGCAAAGGTACAGGAACAGAGGGCAAAGCAGGGCAGGGGCTGAGCGGTGTCCTCAAAGCACTGCAGCTCCCCGGTGTGCCCAACACTGTGACCTGTGCCCAGCAGCTCCCAGATGCATATCTCTGAGCCTGAGCCCTCTGAGGGGGGGGCTGCCCGGAGCCCGGCGGTGCAGCCATGCCCCCCGCACAGACATCTCGGCACCGCACTGCGGGCATTCGACCCCGCACTCCTCCCACCTCTGCCAGCTCTCCCCAGCCCCGCCCGCCCCCCAGCCCGCGTCCCCGCTTGCACACCCGTAAACATCGCCCCACGGGCGGGCACGGACGCGACACCTCCGGCCCCGGGGCGCGCAGACAGGGGTTCACCCCACAGCCCCCCACGCACACCCCACAGCCCTCCGGAGCTGCCCTCGCTCCGTCTCCGCGTGTCCCTCCCGGAGCCCTCGCTCACACCGCGCTCCATTCCCCCGTGCAGTCGCAGCTCCCGTCCCCCCGCCCGGCCCGCGGAGCCCCGGCAGACCCCAGCCCCATCCGTGCCCCACTCACCGCCCCGCGTTCAGCCGCGGCGAAACGGGGCCGCCGGGACTCCCGTCGGTGTGCCGACCGCTGCTCACCGCCCCGCTGCCGCTGCCCCGTTAGCTCGGGCGGCAGCGGGAGGAAAGTTTCCTCCCCGAACTCCAGGGGAAGTAACCTGAACCGCTGCTCGTCACCTTAACCCCTGGGCTGCTGGCTGGGGGGCGGGCAGAGGGGGTCCCGGAACGGACATCGTGTGCCCAGCACAGGGCCGGGGCCCGGCACAGGGCAGGCACCCCAGGTCCGGGCACAGGGGACATCCCAGATGCACCACTGCCCTGTCCGGGAGGCACTGCTCGGGAGCACCAGCCTTTACCAGCACAATCAACCCCAGAGGCGGCAGGGAAGGGAGCAGGGCAGCACTCGAGAGCAACACCACCAGGCTGTGCTCGCCCAGCACCCGGGCACCCTGCAAATCATCCCTGCTCGGGGGTGCCACACCGTTCAGCCCCTGCCCAGCACCCCCATGTCCCACCCGGCTCCCATGTCCCTCCATGCTGTGCCCCATGCGGCTCCCTGCGTCCCACCTGGCACCGCCTGTCCCAGCTGCAAGCAGCCTGCGGGGCTGGGTGGATGTGGATAGATTTGCAGTTGGCAGCCCTGTGCAGTTCCCGGGAAGCAGGGCTGGAGCGTTTCTCCCCTGGGAGTGAGCAGGCTCACCCAGTCCTTGGCAGGGTGAGGGCAAACACTGCAGTTTGGGCAGTGCAGGTGCCCGCAGAGGGGCTGGGCGCATGCCAGGCTCTATCTGCCCACATCCCCCCTCCTCACCAGTGGCGAAGGGTCTGGAGGACAGAGGAGTTCCCACAAGTGAACGGAGCTCAGGAGAACCCTGCGCCCATGGGTGCCAGACACCCCCGGCTGGTGGGGGGGCAGTACCTGGCAGCCACGCAGGGCTGGGACGGGGCCCCAACGCCAGTTCTTGCTTCCCCTGTGCAGGCAGCTGGGGAGCACAGCGCTGGGCGGTCCCTACACTGCTGGGCTCGGGGCTGCAGCTCTCCTGGGTGTGGGGACGGGGCCGAGGGCTCAGCCCGTCCCTTTCTCCCTGCCCCGTCCTGCGGGCGGCAAGGCCGGGGCTACAGCAGGGAGCAGCAGCGGGACTTACCCAGCCCTGTGCTTCCCAGCTCCAGCAGGATACAGGAAAGGGCGGTGGGGATGCAGCCCGTACCGGAGGTGCCAGAACGTCTCCTTGTCATGTGCAGCCAGGCACGTCCTGCGCCACTGACCACCACGGCACCGGGCTGGAGAAAAGGCACTGCTCGCTGCAGCCAGGATTCCCCCAGCCCCGCTCCATGAGTCCCCCCTGCATACCGGGCATGGGCAGGAGCACCGCGCTGAGCCCCCCACCGCCCCGACCCCTCAGACCCCCACAACCACAGAACCCATCCCCCCCACACCCGGACTCATCTCTGCACCGCTCACAGCTCCCACCACCGCGTGGCAGCCATGCGGCAGCAGGAGGAGGAGGAGGAGGAGGAGGAGGAGGGCTGGAGGCGATGAAAAGCGGCTCAGTCCAGTGACCCCTCGCGTGCTGCTGGGGGCCGGTGGCCAGCTGGGGAAGGGTTAAGTGGTGGGGAGGGGAGAGCAGAAAAATTCCTTCCAAGCAGAGTCACTGTTTCCCTGCCAGGGGAAGTGGAGGCAGAGCCCGCGGGAGCGCAGCTGGCGGGGAGGGAAACGGCACAGGAAGGGGCCCCCGCACCCAATGCAGGATGGTGGCCAGGAGGGGCTGTGGGGCACCTCTGCCCCGAGATAGGGCTGCCCAGCCTGTGTTCACTGCCTGCTGGCTCCAGGCACTGGGCAGGGACGAGGACAGGAGGTCACAGGCTTCCACAGCCCAGCAGGAGGCAATGACCTATCTCGGCGTCTGGGCAGGCACCTTGCCAGAGCCACACCGCCACAGCCCCCACAGGCAGCACCCACAGCCCCATTTCCCCCCCACTGGCCAGACCCACAGCCCCGGCCCAGCAGCACACACCACAGAAGGGTTCACACAGTGGTTTATTTGGAACAGGACACGCTCGCTGCTCACATCCACGTGTTCCCGGCACAGCAGGGTACACTGGCAGCTCCCAGCAGCTCACACCCCGCTGCCCTGCCCCGTGACACCAGCGCCAATCTCTCAGGGCCCCAACAGGAGCAGTGTGGGCAGGGAACACAGGCGGGCAGAGCGAGCCCCACACCGGGAGGATGGAGGAGCAGCACCACCATGGCTGCGCCACAGCCACATTTCTGCACTGAGGAATCTCAAGCAGAGTCAGCCTCAGCTCCGGCCCCCCACGCTGGGATGCTCACATGAACTGCGATAGGTTGGGCACTTTGATGTTGATGTCCCCGATGCTGATGTTGCGTGGCATCTCCGGCAGGTTGATGTTCTTCACGGCTGAGACGGCGCGGGATGGCGCAGCCGAGAGCCCCCCCTGGGGGGAGCGGTGGGTGCCAGCCCCACACCCAAATCCCATCCCTGCTGTCACTGCATGCTGCATCCTCATGATGACAGTGCCGATGGACCATAAAGGTTTCACTGCACGCTATTAACCTTGACAGCACAGCAATAACCACGTGCTGGCTGCTCCCTGCACCCTTCAATGGGGAGCACCCACCCTATGCCCTCTCCCTGGGGACACGCAGGCTGGGAACATCTGGGGGGGCACCGGCTCGCTCACCCCCGGCCCCACAGCCTGCAGCACGCTGTCTTCTTCATGGCACCCAGAGCCCACCCTGCCCTGCGCCCACACCTCAGCACCCTCTCCAAACTGCTGCTCACCTCTGCCTTCTCCAGCCTGCTCTGCGCTTCCGCCTGTGCCACGATCTCATTCATGCTGGTCTCCAGCACCATCCCACCGATCACCACCTCCTGCAGGATGTAGTGCACCTGTGAGGCAAGAGAAGCATGTGGCCCCAGCATGTGCCATGGGGCAAACCTGGCCACTACCCCATGCCGGCCCCCCACCTCCCCACACCCCAGGATGGAATGGAGCCGTTCCTGAGCAGCAAGCTGCCCCCCAACACACACAAAAAAAGCCCGGGATGAGGTTTGGAACACGAGGACAAGAGTGCAGGTGACTGTGCCACTGTGACACACCTTTGGTCACGGCAGCAACACGGCGCTCTGCTGAGCCAGCACCTTCTAATAATCTCCCTGTGCAGATTACTGATTTATGGGTTTCTGTTTACTTCCATTATAAAGGCTGTTACTGGAAGATGGTTGTTATGATATTGGTTTATGGACTCATGACAGCTGATTGTGCCTGTAAATACTGTGTGGCAAACATCACCAGAGCAATGCTGTGAGAAATAAAATGCTGCCTAGAACCTTTCTCTGAGCAGGGAAAAACCCAGCTCTGAGCACAGCGCCTGCCCTGTGCTGCCCCACTCTGACAGCACAGCACAGAATATCAGGGTGCAGGAAACGGCGCTCCTTTTAGGTCTGGTATCTACCTAGCTTGGACCCAACCCAACCGGGCAGCAATCCCAAGCAACCTTTGTTTTCCAAGGAGCAATCCATGTCTCCTCTGGGACCTTGCAGCTACCGAGCAAAACACGCTGTGCTCTGAGGTACGGCCGCACCGTGGGGCTGAGCCCTGGGATGGCAGCCGGCAGCGGGCACTGAGCCAAGGCGCCGCACGGCCAAACACGGCTGTGGCGCTGCTGTGAGCACAGCGAGTGCATGGGAGCCCGGGGGGCTGAGCTGGGGCTCTCCCCAGCAGAAACCCTCCTGACTGTCTCCTCTGAACCCTCATCTCATCAGCAGAGATCAGAGGAGGGCGGGTTGTGCCGCTCACAGCGCTGGGTCCTGACCCCACAGGAGCACTGTGCACACAGCCGCAGACAGGGCTGTCACCACCACCCCGAGTGCTCCTCCTTTCTCACTGCTCTCTCCCCTCCTCTCCCTCTCCTTTTACTTCCTTTGATAAGAGCACTTTTCCTGACAAGATAACTGGCCTAGCGACATCCCTGCAAGCTGAGAGCCAACCAACCCAATGGCAGAGTCAGAGTTACGAGCCAGGTGCAGAGCAGCCCTGACCACTGGAGCACACTTCCACGTTTGTTTCTCAGTCACAGAGTTCAGAATTTGGTATCCAAAACAGGAAGGGAACATTTACAGCACCACTGATTTTCCCACTTGTTTTTTGCTGTCAGGTTTTGCCTCCCAGCAGGCAGGAAGGCCTTATCAGCCCCGCACCACCCCTGCGCACAGCCCCGCTATCTGCAGCTCCATCCGGGACATCAAAGGAGGACGCTTCCTCCCTGGGATTCTGTCCGCCTGAAGAGGAAGCGCAGAGGCTGTGCTCAAATCGAAGTTTACCAAACACTGCATTCCAAACACTTCCATTGTTCCTCCCTTTTTTTTTCCCCTTACACTCCACGGTGTGCTGTGGTGCAGCAAGGGGCAAAGCGCCCACACACAGCCACCCCACATACATCTCCATCAGCACAGGGCTGTGCAGGAGGCAAAGAGCAGAGCTGCGCACCCCTGTCCCCGCAGCAGCCCGGAGTGGTGGGGTTCCACTCTTGGCACAGTGACCCCCAAGCTCAGAGCCAGGCGCTGCTCCCAGGAGCACAGAGGAGCGCACCAAGGCAGCACCCACCTTGTCCATGTGGAAGATGAGATCCAGCTCGCAGACGTTCTCAAAGCACTTGTCCAATGTCTCCACAAACACCTGAGGAAGAGAAGGGGAGCACAGTGAGACCCACACAGAACCTCAGCCCCATCCGGACCCCCAGCCCTCACTGCCCCCTGCCCAGGGGCGGACCTCCCCGCTCTCATGGGTGCCGTCTCAGGGGTGGCACGGGGCAGGCAGCAGCACGGGCAGCTCTGCGGAGCTCGGGGCTCCCCGCAGCACCGACCTGGATGAGATCCAGGATGCCCAACTCGCTCTCGGAGGAGTCCACGCAGAACACGAAGTACAGCGTGGCGTAGTGCCGGTAGATGAGCTTGCAGTCAGGGCTGCCGAACAGACTGCGGGGGGATGCGGGGCTCAGGGGCCAGGCAGCTCGCAGCCCCCCCGGCCGGTCGTTGCGGTACCTGCCGCACTCCAGGAAGTTGCAGACGTGCTCGTCGCGCCGCAGCACCATATGGAAAGCGTCGCGGAGGATCTGCTGCTGCGCCTCCTCCGCCTGCGAGCACCGAGCGGCCACGGCCTCGGACCCCGCCCGCCCCACCCGGTCCCCCAGCGCGCAGCCCCCCGCCCCGCACCAGGTGCTGGTAGAAACGGACGAGCCGTGGCTTGCCGTGGTTGTTGAACACCAGGATGGCGTTGATCATCCCGGCGGCTGCACGACACGGCCGGAACCGGAACCGGGGCGCTGCGGCCTCACCACCCCCCCTCGCCCCCGCCCCCAGGAAGCCCCCCGCCCTCCCCGGAAACGCGGCGGAGCTCCGGGACCTCACGGCCTCTGCTCCCCTCCGCGCCGCCAGGGGGCGCCACAGCCACGGCGCGCCGGTACCGGGAGGGGCGGGGCTGCGCGGCGGGACGCGCGCGCACACACACGCGCGCGGCCGGGGGACGTCAATGGCTGCGCGAGGACTGCCGGCCCGGCGAGCTGATTGGCTGCAGGTGTCACGGCCGCCAATCCCCGTTATGCGAGGCTGCGGCAGGGATCGCGCCCGCGCGCTCCGATTGGCTGCGGCTGGAGGCTGCGGCACGATCAGGGCCGGCTTCGGTCGGGGCCGCCGGACGGCCGCGGGGATCCTTCCTGCCTGCCAGCTCTGATTGGCTGCTCGGGGCCGCGCATCTGAGCGGGGCTTGGACTGCGATAAGCGCCGTGTCCGCGCGCTGCGATTGGCTGCGGCCGCTACGTTGCCAAAAGCACCGTGCCTGTGTGTTGCTATTGGCTGAGGCTGCCGCAAGCGTCGTGTCTGCGCGTTCGTATTGGCTGAGCCCGGTGGGCTGCTGGAAGGATCCTGTCTGCGCGCTCTGATTGGCTGAGGCCGCTGGGCTGATGCGAGCTCTGTGTGTGCACGTTAGCAGCGGCCGAGGCTGTGCTGCGTTTTCTCCGCCGTGTTTGGGGGCTGCAGAGCCCAGCAGCAATCACAGCCAGCTGTGGCTGCTCCACAAGCGGCCTGCCGGTGGCCGGAGCTCGGCTGGGAACGATGCTGGTTGTGCCTTTGAGAAAGATATGTAGCAGGACCTGGGAGAGAGAAGGGGGAAAGCAGAACAGTAATCTCGCTGGCACAAAGCTCTGCGGGAGGGCTGAGGTGCTGCAGAGCCAGGGCAGAAGTTCCCCTGCCATGGGAGTTCCCTGTGCGTCACGGAGATGCCCACAGCACAGCAGCGGGATGGGGCTGCCCGAGTTGCTGCCCGCAGAGCAGCCTGCGGTGCAGAGGGAGCCCTGGGGGGGGCACAGCCGTGCACGAGGCTCTGCAGGTCCTGAAGGGTGGGAGCCCCGTGCTTCGGGCTCACGTGGGAAACCCACGCAGGATCCGTGCGGGAAGGCAGCGTCCATGGGAGGGACCCCAGGCCGAGCCCAGCCACCACCACACAGCGGCAGTGGCGGCGCTCTGTGCCGGCTGTACTGCTCGGGGAGAGGAGGGACCGGGGCCGGCGGATGGTTTTGTTTGCCCACAGTTACCGCTTCGCTCCGGTGCCAACAAGTGACCGCTCGCACCCACACCTCCCGTGCTGGGGCAGCGCCGCAGATCAGGGCTCCGCGGGGATGCTGGGCGCGGGCCGCCATTGGCTGCTGCGTGCAGGGGCCGCTCTGCGCGCGCGCTGATTGGCTGACGACCGACTTCCTCCCTCCCCCCCCCCCCTCGGGCAGCCTGTGCTGACCGCTGCCCCTCGGCGTCCATCCTCGGCGGCGCCCAAGGCGCTCCTCACAACGGCCCAAGCGCTCCCCAGCCCGTCCCGTGCGGGAGGCCAATGAACGGCGTCAGCCCTACTGATGATCCTTGAATATCTGCAAATATTTGCATGGAAAAACCGAGCCCTAACAAAGCCCACACAGCGGGGAAAGGCTGCGGCCGCACGGAGGTGTGTGGCAGTGATGTGCGTGCGTGGTGGAGGATCTGCCGTCTTTGAACCGGGCCCTCCGAGCAGAGATGCTGTTCTGGGCTCACCGGACCACCCTCCACACGTGCAGTGACAGCCGTGATCAGTCACAGCTTACACGTATCAGCAATGTCAGTTTGCACATAAGGATGTGGAAACCGGAGTGAAAATGAGAAGCGTCTTCCAGACAAAGGACTGCATTTTCAGACACCTCTCGGCGGCGATGAGTCTGTTCAGCTCCGTGCTTCCATGGAGATGAGCCTTAGCGACAGCCCCGCTGCCTTCGCTCCCTCTCCCACCGCCCCGCAGACCAGTCGCCTCCCGCTCTCCCCTCGCCCCAGTGCAGCCATCACACCCTGTTCCCCCGCGGCCCTCCCCCATCCATCCCACATCCCCGGGCCCTGAGCGGCGCTCCCCGGCCACGGGACGCTCTGGGGTTTCAGGAAGGGGGAAAGTTCTGCCCGCCCAGGGCTGGCCCTTCCCTCTGGGGGGAGCCGTGCCCCTCGCCGTGCCCCTCGCCGTGCCCTTCGCCGTGCCCTCGGGTCGCTCAGGTCCCCACAGCACGGGGCCGTGGCTCCGGGCGGGGATGCCGAGTCCCGGCAGCAACTGTGCCGCGCCCCCTCGTGCTGCCTCTCCCGGAGCGACCCGCGCAACCCGACCGGGCGGGCGGCCTCGAGGCCGGGGCTGCGGGCGGGGGCCGCTCCAGGCCCACGGTTACAGGTGGTCGCGGCGGGCGGCGACCCGGACCCGACGGGGCGGGGAGGGACTCGATGGCCACCCCCGCTCCGGGCAGCGCCGCAGCCCCGGCGGCGAGCGGGCCGCGCCCCGCAGCTTTGTTCCCCGGTGCCGGGGGCGGGCCGGGCTCCGGGCGACCGCCGGCGACCGGAGCGGGTCGGGGGGTGGGCGTAGGGCCGCTCGGATCCCGGGAAACTTGTCCGGGCGCGGCGGGGGGGACGTGGGGGCACGGCGGCGAGATAAAGGGCCCCGGCGCCGCCGCGCTCCTCGCTCCCGGCCGAGTTAGGAGGAGCTGTTTTGCATCCCTTCACGTCAGCCTGCCTCATTCCCTCCTTCCTTCCTTCCTGCGCGCCCAGCGCCGGGCCCGCGGCCCGCAGCCGCCGTCGCCCCGC